ATTTCAAAACCATAAAAAAATTTAACTGAACATTGGAGCTAGATTTTGCATTAGATAATGGGGATTGGTGTTAGGTGGTAGTTCAGCTGTGTTTTATCAAATAAACCATTGAATGTAGTTGAATTAGTTTACCCGGTTGTTTCACCTAATGCAAGAGGGAGTTTCTGGAGTCGTTTGTGCTAAGTAGCTTTATGGCGTTGCCATGTATGCGTGAATGAGAGTATTTCATTTCCATAGTCCTGGGTCACAAATTGAGGAGTGCAAGATATAGAAACTCTTTATGTGTTGAAGGGAATAGAGAAAATACTGTGGTGTCAATGCTAGAACTCAAACCCTTGTTTTGTTGGTCATGAGGACTGAATAGCCCTCTACGCTATAATATATGTTATAAGAAACTAAGTGGTTTCATTAGGTGAGCATAGTTGGTGTGATAAAATTCTGGTTGTTTAACCGTATTAGGGGACATTAATTAAAAAATGGTTTTTCTTACGACATTTAAACAGACACGGGAAAAAAAGGTTAAATAACAGTTAAATGAATTGTTATTTAACCATTTTTCCCGTGAAATTTCTAACAGTGTGGTAGTGAGAAAAAACCGTTTCTTTACTCTGATCAGTCATTGTTGAAGTTGAAAAAGGCTAAGTTAAGATTAAAACATTTGATACTAGTTCATGTGATTAGTTAGTGTATATGTTATCTGCTTTTTGCCACACTTAAAATCAACATGCTATTAAACTGGTTTATAATTATGGTACACCTCCCTTGCTCTTACTAACCACAAAAAAAATCTTGTAAAGTATGAAAACTGTTTTATTCTATCTCACTTAAATATTGATTATCTAAAACCTCTAATTTTTAAAAAATAAATAAAAATTGATCAGAAATTTTTGTTTTTATTCTTATTTTTAACTTATCATATTTCACCTACTTTGTATATTCACTCATTTTTCCATAAATGAAACGGTGATCAAGAAATCCTTTTCGTGCACGTGGTTTCGCATCAAATATTGGATCGATTTTTAGGTATTTAACACCATCCTCTGAAAGAGAAGGGTGTTTTATTATATTACGTACAATTAAAGAAAAATATATATATTTTTTTATAAAATTTTACTGTAGTATTTTTCCAAGTCTGAAAGCGACATTTAAGTTTCGTAAATTGCAAATACAATATTTCATACGGTCATATAATGGGCAAAAAATCAAACCTAAAAGTTTATTTTTTAATAAGACTGGTGCTCCAACCTTTGCTCTCCAACCAAATCTTAAACTTTGTCATCAAATTGCCTAAATATTAATGCCCTCTCATTTAAATTAAATTAGAAGCTACGCCATTTGTTCCATTGACCGAGAGTGGCATATCAGGGTAAAATGCACTTCCATGTGTTATGAAGAGGAACTAATGTCATTAACAAGTGAAAACAGATTCATCAAGATGAATGGACCAGAAATTATTTTGGTATCGTCGAAATTGAATTTATGATTTGAATTATGATTGATTCCAACAATGAATTTTTGAATTATGATTGATTCCAACAATGTGCTTGATGATTTTTCGTATTCTTGATAATAAGAATATCTATCGTGTTCCTTATGTCTAAATTTGAAAGCACATCTAGTTTGCCCGATATAGCCAAAGAAATACAGTAAATACTCCAGCGATTATCAGAGATAATATTGTCATTAAGAGAGTGAAATTTGATTTTGTTAACAGGTCTAAAATGACTTTAAAACTACTTCAACTGATTTTACCACTTCAGTTTTTTGGGATTATTTTTTTTAACGAAAACAATAATTATTTATATAGCTAAATAATCCTTACTTATAGGGCTAAGTAATTATTATTTATAAGTCTAAATAATCATTATTATGGGACTTTAAATATTATCAAGTAACAATTAAAACAATATTAATATTTCTTTATTGCCCATAATTTTTTTAGAATGAAAAATTAGAAGTAAAGCACAGAGATCGTACTTTTCTGTTCAGTAAATTCGTTAGAGCATGAATTAGCTCCCCATCAAGATAACGAGTTTAAAACTTCATAAAATATAATAAATGGTCAACAGAGTGCTACAAAATAACTGCCCGACAGCGTCTAAGTGATATGAACCTTCCCATAATTGAATAGAAAGCACGGTTTTCTTACTCGAATGACTGAAAACTTTTACATTATTTCATTTATTTATTCTCTTTATAGTTTTTCACGAGACAGAAGAATTAAGCTTTAAAACTAACATCAGTAAAAATAACAAATGTGATTCGAGAAAGCTGTACTGTCCTCCTTTTTAATTCATTGAAAGTCTTGCTGTAAATGCAATAACCCGTACTTTCCAATCAGATATTTTAGAGATGTTTTTAGAAAAAAAGGTAGGACACGCCTCTGGGATTTTTTTCACGCCTCTGTGATTTCACCAACTCAGTAACACCTAGCATTAATCCAGCAAACTCAGTGGAACAATTTTCTGATTTTTGTTAGTTTTGGTTAATGGAAATGACATTAATTATTTATCGGTACCAAATTTTCATTTTTTTAGGATTATATTTTATATGAAGATTCTAAAAATATACATTAGGGTTTTGGTATGTTTTTAAGAATTAGGAAAAATAAAATAAAAATTAGTTATTTAAATGCATTAAAAATTAAAACATATTATTAACATTTATGATTGGAAAAGTTGATGTGATTTATTTTTAATCATGCCCGGGCATTCTAGAGTAATTGGCTTCCATACATTTGTCTCTCTTTTTTATTAGACCCTGATAGCAAACATTAAGTATTGGATGTGGTAAAAATAACCGACAATTCACATAAAAAAATTAAAATGGAGATATACAGTGTGTAACAAAATTATGAGACCTCTGAGGTTTTTTTGCTTTTTGTAATATGTAATCTAAATTTTCCAAAATTAAAATAAAAATGAATGAAAAACAAAATCTATGCATACAATATGGCTAAATATAAATATTTTTTTAACAAAATTAAAAATTTCTCCCCTTAAATATCTGTTACAAAATTATAAGACTACCAGTTGAAATGAAATTCTTTTACAAAACTAAAAGAATGCTGATCTTCAATTTTTCTGAACAACTTCAAAGACTCGATTTTCATTCGACTCAATCATGTTGTTAAGCAAAACTTCAGGAAATTTGTCCCATTCATCCACGAGAGCTACTTCATGCAGAATCATATTGACGGTTATTTGCATTAAATCGTTTAACGAAATAACCCTACAAGTTTTCTGTAGGATTAAGATCGGGACTACGGCTTGGCTAGCTAAGGACTTCGAATTTTTCTTTCTGAAACCGATTTCTAGTTGATTGGGATACATGGCATTGTGCATTGTCTTGATGAAATATCCAGTTTGAGCCTTTTAGGAGTGAACCAATACGTATAAAGTGTTGGTAAAGTAGTTGTTGCTAATAACTTGAATCCATTTCTCCAGACAACTTGAGTTCAATGTTTTCATTACAGGGTCGCATCATACGCAAAAGCTCCCCACATAATCATCGAGCCATCACTCATCTGCCTACTGAAGAAATTACGAGTTTCTATTCTCAAATTATGCCAGCAGTATTTATTCCAGGACATCTAAATTGAACTTCTTTTCGTCGGCAAAAAATAATATTTTCCCAAACTGCATTCCTGCTCATGACCTCATTTGCCGACTACAGCCTCTCTCCTCTGAAATGCTTTGGCAGTTTTGTCTTTTTTTTAATTTTCGAAAAAGAACATTCGAATTTGATCTCAAAGTGTGAAATGCAGTTGCATGAGAGAATGTTCTACTTGTCTGATTTAGTTCTGCGAAACTAAACAAGTTCTGTAAAACTGAGTAGACAAGCTTTGTTTCGTTGTAAGTTGGAAAATGCATCTATCCAGAGCTGATAATTCACGCTTATTATCGAATCTTTCATATTTTCCATAAAAATAATTTCTGATCATTATGAACATCACTTTTAGAATGCTTAATTATCGTCGATATTTTACATTCTGACTTTCCTGAGAGTTTGAAAAATCTAATTTTTCGAGCTTCCAGCTCAGATAATTCTTTTTCGAGTGGCATTGTGAACTTTCTTATGAAAATAAATACATTAAATTCTTACTTTTTTTAAAAATATTATCGACTGTGTTTTGTGCGATGCAAAGTTACAGTTTACATATAATTATCAAATAAAAAATAGAAAAGATTTTCAAAACTCAAATGACTTTGAGAAAATAAATAGGTGTTCTTATATCTATAAAACACGCAGATCATGAAAAATCGTTTGCTGTCTGAAACTGATTCAATTTTTTCCCTTCACTTTTTGATTTATTTAAGAAAATATAACTTACTTCAAATTACTTAGAACCATCTTCAACGAGAGATTTCTTTACGAAGCAGTTGCGAAATTAATTTAGAATTCTTCATTCTAAGCACTTGTAAAATGAATCTGCACATGATAATTAAAATTTGTTTATTTTTTACTGAAATTATATTAAGACGTGTGTGGCGTTTTCATCCATGGTGCTTTTTTGCTTTTCGTTTGTATTCTCTAAAAAGAAAAACCATCTTGTTTTTAAGAAAAAATGCTCAATTCTGGTTCTTGTGATATTTTACTGCATATTAAAAAAGTATGCAATTGAGGAAAAATTCGAGAAAATTTGAGAACATATGTTAAAATTGGGAACATTTTCTGTTCTCGAAGAGTTTGAAATTTTTTGAGGACAATCATCGAAATTCGAAGACAGTCCTCAAGTTTTGAGGACATCTTGCTACCTTAGACATGCCACTAAAACAATGTTTTCAGCGGTATGTCTGATCATTCCAACGAAAATATTTGCACGGATACTACATTGTTGCTTCAACTGCAGTTTAGTCTGAAAACATTGTTCTATAGTTTATCTCAGTTAGCAGCGCCATCTACTTATGATATTTTTAACTATTTGAAATTTAGTGAGGAAAAATTCTCTAGTTATCTATGCAAAATCAATCAAATTTCTATCTTTCCGTTATGCTAAAACTTATTTTTCAAACCACTAGGTGTTTTTAGAGGAACCAGTTATAATCTTGGTACAGTACTTGTTCTTACCCGTTTGTAATCTTGAATACGTGAAATCAATGATGGTTACTTTGATACCGTAAGTTTCGACCTGATATCTTTCACCCCTTAAGCATACGTCTAATTTTTCATCGTTCCCACACTTTTTTATTAAGATATTACCGGGATGAAGGTCTCGATGCTCAAACTGGAGCTTCTCCTCAGCTACAGCTAACCCAGCTGCTACTTGGTGGAATATAGAAAGAGCTTTTAAATAGCTTATGATCTGAAAAAATTAAAGAAAGTAATTAAGTAAAATCTAAAAATATTTTCAGAATCCAAATTTAATTATTTTTTTATTATCAAATTGTATACCAACCTTAAGTTCATCCATATCTGTTCCAGCTAATTCTGTTTCAATAACTATAAATGCTTGGTCCGATGAATAATGCTCTGGTAGTGAAAAAAAGAGATAGTTATTTGTTTCGTTACCATTCATGTAATCAGTTATTTACAGTGAAATCATTTAGAATCAACTTATTAACTGTGATTTGTATCAACAAAGTAAGTCTGTTACTTATTTTTTTTGTCGCATGCCTATATAGGCAGTGGGGGTGCGATTGTTCCTGTTTTTCAGTGGCGCCATCTATGGCNTCTAATTTTTCATCGTTCCCACACTTTTTTATTAAGATATTACCGGGATGAAGGTCTCGATGCTCAAACTGGAGCTTCTCCTCAGCTACAGCTAACCCAGCTGCTACTTGGTGGAATATAGAAAGAGCTTTTAAATAGCTTATGATCTGAAAAAATTAAAGAAAGTAATTAAGTAAAATCTAAAAATATTTTCAGAATCCAAACTTAATTATTTTTTTTATTATCAAATTGTATACCAACCTTAAGTTCATCCATATCTGTTCCAGCTAATTCTGTTTCAATTACTATAAATGCTTGGTCCGATGAATAATGCTCTGGTAGTGAAAAAAAAGAGATAGTTATTTGTTTCGTTACCATTCATATAATCAGTTATTTACAGTGAAATCGTTTAGAATCAACATATTAACTGTGATTTGTATCAACAAAGTAAGTCTGTTACTTCTTTTTCTTTGTCGTATGCCTATATAGGCAGTGGGGGTGTGATTGTTCCTGTTTTTTAGTGGCGCCATCTATGGCCAGGAATTCGACTTCTGCTACGCCATTCACTCAACCACAACCCGTTTATGGGGCGGGACAACACCCATGCCTTTCCCGGGGTTTGAACCCAGGACCTTTCTGATGCAAGGACAGTTCCCTGCCCCCTACACAGGCCAGTTGGCTCTGTTACTTATGATTTTCCGATTTAAATTTGTTGATTCGAATCTATTAATTCTAATCAATGACTTGGATTCGCTGATTCTCAAAAGAAAAAAAAATATTGGCGGTGTTTTCTTATCAGTACCCCATTGTGACAACTGCAATTGTCAACAAATCGAAGTATCCTTGTCCTGTTCTTCTATTTGAAATTAATTAAAATATACTACTTGTGTTTAGACAGTGGTTTGTCCGGCGTTGGGTGAGTATTTTACGCTGCAAACTATCTATCTATGATATTTTTATTAGTTTTTTTACACGCGTGTATGTTTTTCTGCATGTTGAAATTGTAAACCAGTTATCTTTAATCTTGGTGGCCATTTTGGAGCGGAAGTTGGCAAAGGAAACCCTTCCAATTTATTTACTATGCATTTCCTGCTATCACAGAACTCCAGTTTAAATTTAAACAATATAGCCATTCACACAGTAATCAAAGTTTTGATTGACTTTAAATTCCTTTTCTTTAAATAATATGCTCTTAAATTTTGTTTATAGTTGTCAGATAGATTTAGTTTTCTTAGTCATCCAGCACAGAGCAGCAGTCAAAATTTGATGATCCTAGCTAGTCGGAAATTAAAAAACATTTTAATTGGTTGTAAATTCCCTTCGGTAGGAATATGGCAAGAATTCTGTTTGTGTTGGTCATAAAACGATTTAAATTTATGTATGATATTAGACACAAAGCTCCAGTGGAGTTTGGAGGATTTTAGTAATTTGTGAAATTATCGGAATTATGATTGATGATACGGTAATTCCTGTGGCGAATTATGCCTCTAGAGGTCAGGAAAAGATTGGAATTCGTATTGTCATCAGATACTAAGCTGCAGATAGGATTATAGCACATTAATTAGTCAGAAAACGGTTAAGAGCTTTATAAATGGTTAATCTACTTTGTTAATAGACAAAATTTTAAAAACGTTACTGTTTCTCCTAACTCAAACATTAACGTTAGTTGAACTTCACAGCGCATGTGCAAAAATTTCCCCATTAATCGCAGTACCGCCAAGGTGTAGAAAATAACGTTTTGATAAAACGTAGTAAAGTAAGATTCAAGAAATTTTTAAAATTTAAAGAATAGAACAGTCATAATAAACAGATAGCATTTTGAAAATATCAATGATGCTAAATGTTATGGATAGTTACGCGCGTAAAACTAAGCGGAGATGGGTTAAAATTCGTCATAAAACTTCCGGTTTACTACTTCCGGCTGATTTCTACGCCTAAACTTGTAAAAACGCACCATTCAAAATTATTATACTTGTAGCTTTTTTCGATATAACGCGTTCTTTCAATCTAACTTTCAATGAAACAAACAACAAATAAATTTGGAAGACTTGCAACTTGCTATGATGCTTCCCAAAAATAAGAAACTATGTTACTTTACAAAAATACAGCCAAATCAGGGATAACACTCAAAACATGACTAACCTTACACTTTTTTTATGCTGCGATGTTAAATTTGTTTTAGGCTCATGACCTGTAAGAATTTATAATTTACAAAAAACTCTAAAATTACTCGTACATTTAATCACAAATCTCAGTAATAAAACTTCTTAGAATATTAAGAGTGGTTACGCATCGCCTCGTAAGCATGACATAAGTGGAGGGATACACCAGAAGTTTGCTATAGTTTGTCTAAGCTAAGAACTCCTCCCGCCACAAAGTCTGAGGCCGTCTGGTGCTATGGAAACAAGAAGGGCGCATTTTAGGGAGGACTGCTTCACGCTAGGACTAACACAATAAACCGAAGAAAGAGATTCCCTTTCTCTCGCCGACCCGACCCCCGCACCCCTACTTGAAATATTCATCCCTCGTTACCATAGTCACCGCCACAGGTTCAGACGAATGTCTGGGGGAGTTAATATATTAGACAAACTATAAATTTCTTCCGGTTTCAGGAAGCTTGTTATTGTTTACATTCAGTCAACTTGCATCATCAGCAACTTGCTATGATGCTTCCCACAAAATAGCAAACTGTGCTATTTTACACAAATATGGCCAAATCAGGGATAAAACACTCAAAACATGACTAACCTTACACTTTTTTTATGTTGCGATATTAATTTTGTAAAATTTGTTTTAGGCTCACAACTAGTTAGAATTCATAATTTACAGAAAACTCTAAAATAGCACGTACATTTAATCACAAATCTTAATAATAAAACTTCCTAGAATATTAAACGTGTTTATTCATCGCCTCGTAAACACGAGATAAGCGGAGGGATACACAGTAAGTCTGCTAAATTTCTTCCGGTTTCCTGAAGTTTGTTATTGTTTACATTCAGTCAAACATCCATATGAAGAGTATAGTGCGGCTTTCAAGAGAACTCCTCCAGACACCCGTCTCCCATCGTGGCGGGTACTATGGTTACGAGAAAATAACACTTCGAATAGGAGTGTGGGGTGAATAGTTTGGTCTTAATCTTGGCATAGGTCGTAGTGAGTAAACCAATCGACACTTTCTTTCTTCCATTTCATCTCCATTAGAAATGTGCTCTAGCTTGTTACCATAGTAGCAGACAGCCCCAGACTTTTAGTCTCGAGGACTTCTGTTTAAAGCCGCACTATAATAAGGCTATATGATATACTAAAAGCTAAAAATTTTATTTCTTGTGTGAAGTGGTGAGTAAATACATATTTTTATTGATTGAAAATATCTTCCATCCTAAAACATTACCTGGACAAGGATGATCAGTCTTTTCTTTTAAATTAAACAACTTCCAAGCAGAAGAAGCAGCATTAGGGAACACGTCTTGCACAACACACACCCTAAAAGAATAAACGATATTTCATATAACACACAAGTAACATATATTCATATAACACATTGATAGGGAAGAAAGGCGTTGCTTAAAAATTCAGAAAGTCATTGTTTTCTAAAGAAAGATTTTTTAAGAAAAATATTTGCTATCGTATGTTTTCTAAACAACTAGTCACCTGGTTTATCAAATGTATTGAAATTATTATTATCTAAATTCACTTTCAGTTTCAATCTCAATCTTAAAGACTACTGGAAGACTTTTCCTATTCATGGCAACCAAGTGTTGTATGAAATTAGAACTAATAATGCAATTGTGTTAAAAAGTTTCTGAAATATGATATTTTTGTATAAATATTTGCCAAATTTTTATTTAAATTCACCGATGATTCTAAAGTATGTGGAAATCCAAGCAAATCATTTCAATTTATTAAAAAAAATGTTTTTCGAAGTTCAGAAATATTTTCATAAATTAAAATTTTTAAAGAGACTAAATACTAATGCAGTGGGAAGAAAGATTACTTTTCCAACTTCGGCGCACAAATATCACTATATAGCTAATATTATATCGAAGTTCATACGTCTTTGTTCCAGGAAAAAATTTGGGACATAGTTTTTAAACTTCTCTTGAGTCAAATATACAATAATTGATAGGGAAATTGTACACATGCTAGCACATCTTAAAGAATGCACGAAAATTTAATTCTAAATTTTATGTTCTTCAAATTATGACGAAGCAAGCCATAACTATGACTGCTTTTATTCTCATAAAAATTAAAAAAATTGCGATGTAAAAAGTAACACTTATTGTAAGCCAAAGAAAATTTATCTACCCATTTATTTAAATTGCACATTAAATTTTAAAAAAAATAATTCAAACAATCTTGGCTATTATTACTTATGATGTTATAATATTAATAGGCTACAAAAGTTATTTAAAAAAGGAATTCAAAATAACTTATTCTTCCTTGCATAACAATAAAAAAAAACTTAAATAACTTAGTAATACGCGTAGAGTATTTCGTAGGCAAAATTTCACACTGACCAACTATCACTCGGATACACTTACTGTGGTGCCATAATAAGCACTACATATTTCCATTCTTTTAAAATTTTATTAATTTTATAAATTTAATTTTTTTAATCATTCCTAAATAAATTAAATCAATTATTTAATTTTTATTACCTTTTATAAAAAGCAAACATAAATATTTTATTCTCTTCTTAACAATCAATGTAACGGCTAACTTTTTGATTCAATACAAATGTATAACTCGTTAATTCACTGTCGCGATTAAATCGAACATCAAAATCAATTTTTAACTCCTCATTCTTTATTTATCTTACCACAAAAACTTACATATTTATAATTCTCACGGTCTTTTTGGCGATTAGCTATAACCAAATTATTTCAAAATTTAATATTGATTACGGGGGTTGGCTTTGATTTTGGCAATTTTATCTTTCGATAGGTCGCCAACCATGGATATCTTCCCATGCTCCTAACTGTCAGTTGAGAACAATTCACTTTCCTTTTAATTTTAAATTCTTGATGTTAGAGCTATGGGGCTTGGCTCTTCTGCTCGACGGTAAATAAAGTTTAGTTCTTGATGGGAGAACACTGAATCTCTACATCCCTTTAAAAGAGCATTTTATTTTCATTTCTTATAATTTTAATAACTATATGGCCATATTGTTTCCAATAATATTTAAAAAGTAATAAAGCAATTTTTCGTTAAATCATTTTGTTCAATTCTTTCATATAAAGTGTAACTCAGCCGCAAATCTGCGAAGGCCAAAATGTTCTTAAATACTGCAAAGATGTTACCTCCGCTATAAAAAGAGACTAAAGACCATCACACCAACATGAAATATTTTTGGGTAAAACAATAAAAACTTTTATTTTGTATCCTCTAAAATATTAAATCTATGCAATATGTTATCAGAGTGAGATTTTTGTAGTTGAATCAGCGATATTTGTTAAGCTAGCAATGGATTTTAGCTTCCTTTCGAAGAGCCTGGTTCAAAACCTTGTTATGAAAACCTGAACAGTCTTAATGAAATTGCCTGAGCCATGGTGGCACAGGGGATAAAGCGTTTGTCTTCCAATGAGGTGAATCCGTTTCGAATCCCAGCGATGGCAGGTCGATACGAATTTCGCATCGGGCTTGCTTCGACCGCAGTGCTGGCGTAAAACATCCTCAATAGTAGACGGATCATGGGTTAGAGTTCCCTTGCGATATGGCTCAACGTGAGAGGTTTTCGTGGATTTTCTTTTCATGCAACGCAAATGCTGGTTAGTTCCATTGAAAAGTCCTCCACGAAGGCAAAATGTTTCCCAATACTTGATCCAGGAGTTCCATTGTTTTCTGGATTGGATCAAAAACTACAATAATGCGGAGTTGAGCCTTACTAGCCGTACACCCAAAAAATTGGGTCGGCTGTTCCACGACTGTTATAGAACGAAATTGCCGATATACCGTGTCCAGACATTCGATCTTTGTAAGACTAGTCATTAAATATGTCCATCATTATGTCAAAGAGAAAGCTCTCGTTCGAAAACTGCGTCGTCTGAAACTTCTAAACCCACGTTGAACTAATCCTCTCGAATCTTGCCAGACGATTGTGCGATATATTATATATTAGAGATTTTTTCCAAGGCAGGATTTTTTTTAATGATTAAAAAATTTCTATTCCCATCACAAAAAAAAGTTCTATTCTGAAAACTACTTTAAACTTCCAAAACCGAGTCAGACTAATCCTGTTCAATCACTGCAGACCACTGTAAGATTTTTTATACTTGCAAGATTTTTTCTGGGCCTGTGACTTCATTCTAGAACACCGATCGAACAGCACGGACGATTTATTGCTTCAAGGTGAATTTATAGTTGAAATTTATACTTGTATAGCATTTGATGGAAAACTGAAATATTTTTTATAGAGGTCGTAGAGCGGCGGCTGCTATAACGCGCCCCCCCGGTCACAGGGTTGATTTCCACTTCTCAATACCATGACCCTCCGTCAGGGAATTTCTGTCCGAAAGATTTTGGTGTCCACTAAATTTTTGTACGTAATGAAAAGAAGAGAACAGAGATTTATACGTCATCTGCGTTGTGCATTGTTACTATGTTAATAAATATGAGATAAATAGGATAGTAATGGATGTCCCAAAATCGATTGATGATTTGAAAACTCAACTTATAGAAAGGCTAAAGAAGATAAAATTATACTTCTAACCAAATTTAAAAAATAATTGGAAAATTCATTACCAGAATGCAATTTTGACTATAAAAGAGGTACGCTTTAAAAATAGCCCTATTTTCAACAATTATGTTGTGCAATGTTAAGACAAAAAAAAAAGAACAGATACCCGTACAAATATTTCTGTTAGAAACGTCTGACATTCAGCATAAATTCAAATTTAAAAATTTTTTACTGCTAGACAGCAAAGTTTTAGATGAACTTTGTTAGTAAAATTTAGTGTGAATAAATCCGTGGAACAGAGAACAGCAAGTTGTACATTTTCGTCTTGTTTCCTTTTTCTTAAAATTAATTTTTTAAATTAATTTTTTCAAATCATCTTGTCATTTTTGGGACACCTGAAAAAGCTGAATTTCTCATAATATAATATACTCATAGTTTTCTAATAATATATTTATATTTTTAATCTAATATTTTTTTTAAGAGAACATTTCAAAGTAGGATATATTTTGAATTTGAAGAGTTTATGAAAAATGCTCATGGATCTACTTGCCTGTATATGTAAGGGTACGATGGACAACGATATTCTGTTCCATTGGCCAATTTCGATAGTTCCCTGTAAGAAGAAACAAAAAGAATTCAAAGATATTGCTTCCATACTAGCTATCCATAAGTATTAAAACATTTTATTGCAATACAAAAGAAAAATAGAGCTTATCCAAATTCAGCTGTTTGTAGAGTCTCCAAAAAAGTCGATTTTTGCTTCAACTTTACAGGACATGCTTTTTACAAATCCTTGAATGATACCAAGTGATATTCTCGTTCAAGACGTTTTTTAGCAGATTTTAGAAGGTTGTTGCATTCAGCAATTGAATCCACCCCACAGGTTTGGGTACTTAGGTGAATAGTCTATAAAATTAATTCCATTCTCCCCATACCAGCCAACGATGGATCTTACAACATGACATCTGATATCGGCGTCTTGGAAATTACATGGGTAAATCCTGCGTAATATCCCCGCATGGCACAACCACATCTATCTAACCTCAGTTTCATCTTTTGATGATCATTAGAAACTCCGTTAGGTGACGTGATTTTGAATCTCTTTGACTCCCATTAGGTGACGTGAATAGCTCATGAACTTGTATCCCTCTGACTTTCAGTCAATATTTCAGTCTAGGCGCATTTAAAGTTGCTGCGTATACACTCTGGTTGTTCAATCGGCTTCCAGGATTGAACTTACGACCTCCAATTCTTTATGAGTAGTGTGAGTGAATCATTGACCTATTTCACCACAGGGGCGTTCATAAGACACATGAGGTAGGTATTTATTTACGTCGCACTAGAGCTGCACAATGTGCTTATTGGCGACAGTCTGGGAAACATCCCCAAGGATGATTCGGAGACATGCCATCACAATTTTGATCCTTTGCAGAGAGGGTGGCTCCTTCGCTTTGGTAGCTCGATGACCCGAGCGCGAAGTCGAGCACTTTTTGATAGAGCAGTTCAACGAGGACTGATGACGTGCACCCTCGATCCTTACATAGGCTGATCCAAGTGCTCCCCAACCGCTTACTGACCGCAGCCAGTGATGCTTGACTTCGGGTCCCGCAGTGGACTGATGGTTAAGACACGGTTCCCAGCGGATCACCGATGTCAAGCATCACTGGTTGCGGTCAGTGTACGGGTGGGTGAGCACTTGGATCAGTCTTCGTATGGACTTTCAAAATTAGATATACGTAACCAATAGTCTTTCAAAATAAGTTTATATGCTTTATATAGGTATATTACGACCAGTTTATGTAGTGAATTACAATAACTTTTTAAGAAAATCAAGAAACGTTAAACATTCAAAACGTACTACCAAAATGTTTTTAATTTAACAAATTTTACCTGTATGCTGCGCTGAACTTCAGTTTCCATGGTTGATGGAAAAGTTTTGAATATGGTCACTTGAAAGTGGCCTATTCACAATTATTGTTTTCAGTTTCTGAAATAAGAAAGACACATTAGGAGTCCACTTACAATGATGCACAAATCTCACTGGTCATTTCTTTGAAAGTTAACTGCACTTCCTTGCTTCGTGGTGCCACATCTCCGACTGCTACTATCTTAACGATTCTTTTTTGTCCGTTAGCTTTCTTGATTTCGTAAATTTCTGCAAAACTTCCTTCTGCAATTTTTTTGATTGAATGGTGAAACCTTAGAAATAGAAATATAGTATGAATATAAATTACTGCGCGTGTGTATTATTATAAAAAAGAAATTCCAGTTAATAAGAAATCTTTATTCAAAGTTCTGGCAAAAATATGCAAGCTAATGAACAAGCAAAAAAAAAAAATAGTTACATTTCGGGGACTGCAAACCAGAATGGAACTGGACATTTCATATCGGACACTTTCAGAACAGTTCGAATATCTTTATTGCATTCTTCTTTTCGAAGATTTTTTGAAACAGCTGGCAAACGTCTGCTTCGAATCTAAAATACAGAACATTCAAATTAATTGTAATTCCTTTTTTAATAGAAATAAGAAATGTATTTGAAAAAATTGTCAAAAATATTTTGAACATAATTTTGCTTCTCTTCGCGCAATTATCAACTCTCTGGAAATAATTTTGTGGCACTTATTACAATGACAACTGTAAACAACTATGCACTCTAGAGTCACAAATTGGAGTGAAGGACACTGAAAAATCTTCATGAGTTGAAGGGAATGGAGAAAATAATGTGGTTTCAACATTATCCGACACGTTAAAAAGGTTTCTAAGTATCAAAGAATATTTAAAAGAAAATTTTGCAATAGATTTCAAAATGAAATCGAATAATTTGAATAAAATATAAATTTTAGTTTTTTTTTTAAAACTTTAATTCAGTAATCCTAAATTAATTTAATTTTAATGTAAAACAATTTTAAACTAAATAGACATCAAATTGAAAACGGTTTCCAATCCTAAAACTGAGAGAAACAAGTAGCTATCTTTAATTTCAGCGTTAAAATGCTGTTAGTAGTTATGTCTGTTTTTGCGTTCATTTCCAGTGTATAGTTTTGTGTTCATTACAGAGTTTTGTGTTCATACCAGAATATTTAAATTTTGAAAGAGGAAAATAGTAGGGGAGAGTGGGTTAAATTGTAACAGGGTACGATTGTAACAGCGCAAAAATTTCGAGTGTCGGGTTCTAGATTTGGTTCCTAGGTGGCGCACAAGGAGTATTTAATAAATCTACATGTACACCCCTGATGGCAACCATTTTTATGTACTTTTGAAAGAGTTACATCACAAAAGATATTTTCACTCTACTTAAGTACTTTTATTGGTATTAGAATATTATATTGCAACAAAGTAATTTTGTTTAAACAAATAAAAATTATTAACCGAATGTGTAAGTGGACACCTTAATTAACATTTCAATAAAAAAAATTAGTTTTGTTAATTAACTAGCAATGTTTTTAACAAATGAAGCTGAAATGGCGTCTTGGGGACGATTGTAACAATAAGTAAAGGGACGATTGTAACAGCTGAAAATAAATAATCTTATGTTTACAAACCATTACTTAACTCTTTAAGAACCACCAATAGTTTCCTATATCATTTATATTATGTTGCATGTGCATTATTTTATTTGTCACCTTTCACAGCATAAATTAAAATTTTTAACCCCTTAAAGTTAAAAGTTTAACCCTTTAGGTCTCTGCTCATTATTATTTTTACTCCTAAAATATCACTACTATTTTGATCAATAAAAAAATATATCACAACTATGATAATATGTATAATTAACTATGTTTTAGTTGAATTTATGAACTGTTACAATTGACCCCGTAAGTGGGGACAATTGTAACAAGTGCACGACTGTCAAAAATTGTTAATAACTAATATAATAACATTTAAAATAAGGTATTTATTTTTTTTTCTAGTAGAGGATAGTCTACTTTACTCGTCTGTCAATTAATACTAATAATATATTGGATTTTTTGTTAGTTAAAAATAGTTAAGTAAAAAATTTTACAATTGAACCTACTCTCCCCTATGTAATTTGATAAGGCAAGGCCGGTAAACAACTGATTTACGGAAAATCACATTTAGAATTTCATTTTTTTGAGAGTCACATTGGTTAAAACGCATTGTTTTGAATATGACATATTTAATATTTATTTTCAGAGACTGATTACTTGAAGAGATGAAGAACAGTTAAAGCTATAATTTAGTAAGTTTAAATATAGCTAGCAACAGCAATAAGTTGTTTAGAAAACAAGTTTTTTCTTAAAAAACAAGTTTATTTAATGACCTGATAGAAAAATAAATTAATTCTTATGCATTCAACTAAACATAAAGTGTTGTTTCACTTAAAAGTTTGCGTTTTTTTAGACATTTCTTGTTATTTTCTTCCTCTAAGAGTGTTATAAAGAAACGTTAACTAGTAGACATAAAATAAATATAAGAGTTTTCTTATACTAGTAAGAAAGAGATAAAACAAGAAACTTAAAGTACTAAGGAAAAACTTCAAAATTGTAAGAATTTCTTTATATCATGAAAAGACGATGTGAGGAAAAGTTAACTATGAACTAAACTAAGTAAAAATTGAAAAAATATTCTAATTTTTGTAAAAAATAGATAAAGTGATAAAAATAAACGTTAATAAAGAAAAACCAAAAAAATATACAGTATTTCTTGATAACCCTAAAATATGAAGTAAGAAAACGTTACCTATTAGCTGTTAAAAGATACTAAAAATGAAAGTTTAAAATGCTTTGTGTTCATCAATAAAAAAAGCTAAGTTATGCATAAGTTATGCAAAATAAATAAGGAAATATCTTGCTAATATTGTTTATCTATGTTTAGTAAGTGTGAAGCCATAATAGGCATTACATATTTCCTAGCTTTTAAAATTTCCTTAATATTAAAAAAAATTTTTTTTTTAGTCATTCTTAAGTGAATTTTAATTAAACTAATTATTTACTTTTTGTTACATTTTCTAAAAAGCTAATAAAAATATTTTTATTCCTTTCTTCTCGATGTAACGACTAACATTTTATTTCAAAACAAATTTTAAACTCATTAATTCACTGTCGTGACTAAATCTAACATCAAAATCTATTTTTAACTCTTTTTTCTTTATTTCTTTTAACACAAAAATGTTTTAGTTACAGAGTTAAACAAATTCTCATGATCATTTTTGGCGATTAGCTATAGCAAAATTATTTTCCAATTTAATATTGATTACGGGGGTTTGACTTTGTTTTCGGCTCTTTTATCTTTCGATAAATCGCCAACCATGGAACTCTTCCGATGCTCCTAACTGTCCGTCGGGAACAATTCAGTTTACTTTTTAATTTTGAATTCTTGGCGTTAGAACTGGGGGCTTCTGCCTTAAACTCAACCGTTCAATTTTAATTTTTTTTTGGAATTTTTAATGGAAGCAATGAATCTCCAAATCCTTCTCCCGAAGCACCTCTTTTTTATTTTATTATTTCGAAAATATGGCCACATTCTTTATAATAAGATTTACAAAGATAATAAATTAAGTTTGCTTGAAAGATTCTGTTTATTTTACTGGAATAAATATCCTTCTTTCATAATAATTAGAACGTATCTAATAAGGCCAAAAATATGTTTAATACTCCAATGATGCTACCGCCACTATACATAAAAAAAAATTGATTTACAACCTACATCATAGTAAGAAATACACAAGAAATAACCATGTCAGGAGATACATCAGTATATAGTTTAAGGATATAGGATCTAGAATGACTACGAAGAAGTGTATTACGAAGAAAAAAAACATTGTGTAAAATATGCTCTTCTGTTCAATTGTGAAAATGCTCAGTTAAATTTAAGTTTTGTGCTTGTCAAGTTTAATTTAAAATTTAAATAAAGCTAGCTTAAGTTTAATGTAATATATATACATGTTATAATTTAGATTGCCCTCTAATTTTTTATATTGTTCAATATGCTTTATATATGTAGTCTTCAAAAACTATTTCCATTTTTATAATATATTTTCACTAAGTATTAGTTTCAGAAATGAATAAGAATGTTTGTAAACGGACAATTATAATAGAATATTTTCATTTTCTAAAATCTTAATCTTAAATCTTAATCTTAAATCTTAATCTTAAATCTTAATCTTAAATCTTAAATCTTAAATCTTAATCTTAAATCTTAATCTTAAATCTAAATCTTAAATCTTAATCTTAAATCTTAATCTTAAATCTTAATCTTAAATCTTAACCTTAAATCATAATCTTAAATCTTAATCTTAAATCTTAATTTTAAATCTTAATCTTAAAAACAGATATGAATTTAAAAATATATTTGTCGTTTTATAACAAATTTATGCTTTTAATTTTACTCTCAAGTTTATTTACTAACTATTAAAGGTAATTTTTATTTTTTCTTCGAATAAAGTTATTTATAATTCATATTGCCTTAAATTAATATCAAATTAATTAATCTATAATTAACTGATTAAATTACTCTAAAACACAGCCTTTAAAATTTTTAAAAATGGATTAGGGTTAAGGATAGGCTTGTAATATCTAAACTAAATGAACTTAAAAAAAAAAGAAAAGAAAATGCAATTTCATTATTCATTATTTCAATGTAGAAAAATAATCATAAAATGCAGAATGTATGCTTAGATATATATCTCTTGCTACTCTGAAGTTTTCGTGAAAGTTTTTTCAATTTATCTGTTGCTTCGTTGAAGTGAAAATGAAAAGAATTTATATCGAAAAAATGTCCTTTTTTTTAAAAATACTTTTGATATAAGCTTTTTGCAATTTTTTCACAACAGAATACAATTATAAATTTTTTGTTTAAAAAATATTACCGTTGTTGATGAGTTTTCTGATAAAACATCGATTGATCTTCTTAATAAACCATTGATGGTCCTCCAAAAAGGTTTATGAACATCTGGCGGTTGACTCTCTTTGATTTTCCCGAGAAGAATTTTCAAAGTATGGCACAAGTTTCGTGATCTGTAGTGCCTAGGGTTTTTTAAACAGTTTTTGACAACATTATCAGAACCTAAAGTGAAAAAAAAATAAAATTAGTGTAATGAATTTGGTATCTTGTTATCAACATTATCTACATTTTCACTTATAAGTTTGTGTGAGCCTTGATGGCACAGGTGATAGAGAGTTCGCCTTCCAATGAGGTGAACCGGGTTCGAATTCCAGCTATTACTGGTCGAATCCGGCTTGCACCAACCACAGTACTGACGTAAAATATCCAGAGTGACTGACGGATCACGGTTTAGGGTCCCCATGCCCTCAGGCGAACCGTGGGAGGGTTTCGTGGTTTTCCTCTCCATGTAACGCAAATGCGGGTTAGTTCCGTCAATAAGTCTTCCATAAAGGGGAATTTCTTCCAATACGTGATCCAGGAGTTCCCTTGTCTTCTGGATTGGGTTCAAAATTTCAAGGCTACGGAGTTGACAGAAATGGAAAGTCAAAAGTGAACGAATTCATCTTAAATAGAACAAACTATTTCACATTTTCATTTTAAAATATACTTATTAATTAATTCCGGAAAATGATACTTTACAGCTATATTTAATTTCTTACAAAGCGTATACGAAGAAGGTCTTAGGGAAATTTCTGTGGAACAGAATGAACAGAGGTTGGTCAAAAATAGTAAATTCGATGGGTTGTTCTTCGGTTAATCCTTCATTTCTATCATCGCTGTCTTTAAAATTTTTAGGTGTATTTTAGATATTTAGGATAGTCCCTTTTAATGTTGCTTTCACTGAATGAAAATGCTTACATAATTTTTTTTTTATAATTGTGTAATTCAACCTCGATTTTTTATTTTGTTGAAAATACAATTCGAAGTAGTGTTGAAATGTATTTAAATAGGTAGAAGCACTTGTAGTTCACTTATTTTCAGCAATTTGTTCTGGTGCAAATTTGGTAATATGGTTAGTTTTGTACATGAAAATGTAATTATTATCTTCCATGCAACGAATACTAAGTAATAAACATTATAATTGTTTATAATTTTAAAATGTTAAGTAAATATTGGAAAATAAGGTCAAAGAGAAGTTCTTGCCATTCATTGGTCTAGAGTTTCAATGAATAATCCAATAGCTGTTTTATTTCTTTAAAATGAATTATCACTTTAATACAAGTCAGCAAAATCTACCATCTTTATCATCTTTAAATTGATACTCTCATAAAATAGAAATCATGGTTTATTTTAAATTTACACAGTATATTTTTTGCTTAAAATAACGAGATTGCATTCTGGAAGGAAAGTGTGAGAGATAATCCGCTGAGAAGGTTGAATATAAAAGGATGAGGATAGAAGATGATTTTATAATAACTTTGTCCTTATATGATCCCTTGGCAAGCATATTGTCTAGAGAAATGAAATAACTTTCTTAAAAGTATTTCAAGATGTCTCTAGATAGATAAGAAATATTAAGAAAATGGCTAGGCGCTGAGATAGTCTGGTTGGTAGGGCGTTGGACCCATGTCCAAGAGATGAGTTTGATCCCCGCCGGCCGAAGACTGCCTGTGTAGTAAATGATGACTGGTGCACGTTAAATCTGTTGGGTCAGAAAGCCCTCCATGTTCCCATAACAAATCATATCTTTGAGGGTACTGAATTGGAGATTGATCGTTCTCCGGTTGAGGTCAAAACTACGATCTGCGGATGCATGAATGGATGTATGATTGGGTTCGCCCTATAATATGGCTGTGATGTGTGTATGGCTGAAATCGTGTTCTTGGCCATAGATGGCACAACTAAAACTCAAGTAGTGCATCCTGTGCGTTAAATTCGTTTAGTTTCATCAAGCTGACTTGCTGGTATTAGCAAGCAGCATTAGAAGCAATGACAACACTAGAAAATGGCATTAAATAATACAATTGATACAGTATTTAGTGACCATTCCAAGCTTCTGCGAACAAAAAGAAGTTCATCCTAGAGTTAAAACCTTTTATGCTTGGAGCAAGAAAATAGTGTCCTACTTGTACAAGGAGGGAGAGTTTTGTTAAAATTACTGTACTCTATGGTAATGACATTTTTATGAAAAAAAAAACATGATTCTGGTAATAAAACCAAAATATACGATTTTTTATTTGGTAATTTTTTCATTCATTTGATGATAGTTAACCAGAGATTCTGGTTTTCTAAATTATATTTCTTACTGCCACACATTTAGTAAAAATTACAAAACTGAAAAGTAAATTTGTCCGAATAAATGGTTCTTATACCATGTTCCAAGATAATATGTTAAAATTACAAAACTGTATCAAATTACCGAATTTTAACGCACATTCAAAGGTTAACGTTTCATTAAAAATTATCAAGATTTTTTGATCCCATAGAGCTAGAAACATGGTAAATGTTACCATATTCTGGTAGTTTGTTCACGCCTTTTTCTCAGTGAACCATTTTGATTAATCATTATGTTGAAGTTATTTCTGAAAACATTGATAGATGCATCATCAAGTAAAGGGTAAAATTCGGAAATTTTGCTTCTAGTCAACGGCGAGTTGTAACATTTTTAAACACGGTCACTTTTTTTTAAATCTTTTTTTCAAGAATTTGAAAATTATGAACTATTAAAAAACTATTGACATTAATTATGTAAGGTGTGTACTTTTTTCGTATAACTTATGAAGTACTTCTCAAAATATGGGAAAATATTACTAGCTTCCTTTCTAAAATAACGAAATTTTTTTGGAAACAAGCTTGGAATCAATTAATATTTCAGAGTATTATAAAATATTGAAAATAATTCCATGTTTATCAAACAATAACAGTAATAATAAAATTCACTTGGAATTTATTTTTGTCGAAACGAGTGGCGACTGGCAAACAATTTCTTAACCGCTATTTTATAATTTTGTAACCGTCGTTGAACAGCCGACCGAATTTTATGGGTTTACGACTATTAATGTTCAGCTCCGTAGCCTTGTAATTTTGAACCCGATCCAGAAGACAGGGGAACTCCTGGATCGAGTATTGGGTGAAATTTACCTTCGTGGAAGACTTTTTGATGGAGCTAACCCGCATTTGCGTTACATGGAGAGGAAGACCACGAGAACCTCCCACGGTTAGTCTGATGGCAAGGGGACTTTAACCACTGAGGAGGGTATTTCACGTCAGCACTGTGGTTGGTGCAAGCCGGATGAGGAATTCGTATCGACTGGGATTCGAACCCGGTTCGCCTCATTGGAAGACAAACGCTCTATCACCTGAGCCACCGCTCTTAACCGCTATTTGTTATATTTAGTCAATCTGTAGACGGTGGCGAGAGATACCCTCAAATAGGTTTAAAGCTCTGTGATTGAAAAAAAATGCAATGGAGCTATTTTTCTTAAATTTTATTGAAAAGGTTTTTACCTGCATTTGTATGAAAGTGAGAGCTGATTTTACGTATAATTCTTGCTATTTCTTTAGCCTCAGTTTCGTCCATCTTCTGTTCGTGGAATTATTATTTCATTTATTATAGTTTTAGTAAGATTCAACAGTTTTCGCAGCAAATGAATTTTATGGTAAGGAATTTATATTTGGATTATTTTATGATTCTTAGTGACGTTTGGTGAAAACATTGTTAGGCGTATTATTGTTGAAATGAATAACGAAACGTGTATTGCATTATAGAACGAGATAAAACTATATAATTGTTATTTTTTAACAATGGAAAAATGCTTTTATTTGAAATCTGAAGTCTTGATTTTGGAAGAAAAACATAGAGGGGTACTAAATGTCAATTATTTTCATGTTTTCCAGTTAATTTACCAAATAAGCTTTCTACTTAAAGTAAAGAAAAACCACCAGATTCGAACCGCTATTCAGATCGTCATGAGATTGACAGATTAACCCTCTCGGCTAAAGATTGTGCCCAGCTGTTATGAACTAAGCTTCGTAAGCAATTCATCACACACTTATTATCATAAGATTATGTTGCTGCATCCGCTGTGTTATGCATCCGAAAATTGAAATTAAAAATCAGAATTCATAATCCTTATTATATAGCTTAGCCTCCACCCTTCGAAGAACGTGCGATCAAATTTCGGTATTGTAGGCACGGAAAAAATTCCAGCTGTTTTACAGTATTAGATGAAAACAGTCAATAAACGATTTTTTTCACCTTTAACAGTTTTGAATACTACATCTTTTATCATTATTTGACCATATCTTTTATGGTTTTGGTTAAATATGGTAAAGCAACAAATAAATTGTTATTTAAGCATTTTTTCTTCTAAAGTTTCTAACAGTTTGCCTTTAAAAACGTATAACTTTTTTAATGAAACAAAGTAAATTAATTTTCAAAAACATTTTATGACTCTAAAAGTATTTTAAATTGAAGTTTTCCTAAATAAAGAGAAAAGAGGTTTGACTAGCTCGTGTGTAAATCAAATATATATACTGGTTATGATTTATACACTGGTTATCATAAATTAAGGAAAATTCNTGCAAATTTTGCACGGTTTGGCTTACTTTTGAAAGAGTTATCGCTATTTTTGTGATTTTTCCTTAATTTATGATAACCAGTGTATAATTTTATATAATTAATTAAAAAAAATTAATACTCTGAAACTTTTTAATTTTTTTTCATTTATTTCTTTTCTGAATGATATATCAATTATAAATCATTAAAAGCATTACACTTAACGAAAATAGTTTATTTTAAATTAAAGTATAGAATTGTAAGAAAATATACATTTTTCTAAGTTTTCTTTTTTCTTCTTTTCTTCTTTTCTATAAAGAATCGAAAACGTTTCAGTCAACATTTGAGAAAATAACTTGATTTTCAAAATATGTAACAGGGGAAACTGCTTTATTTGAAAAAGAAATTGTGATTTCGAAAGATTCCTATCTCATAAGATAAACAATATTTCAAAATAAACATACTTTTCTTGATACTTCTCTTTTTTTTTGTAAATATAAGACATATCGAGTGAAATCTAAAACTAGAAAAAGAAATTGCTTTAGAATCATTCTATTGTATTGTTTCTTTAAACTAAAAGTATCCGCAAAAAATTATTTTTCTTAGAAATATTATAAAAATG